AATTCATCGATTGGCAAAACACTAGGACTAGTAAAGTTGAATAATGTGATTGTGATAGAGTTTTTTGATTATTAGCCATGTAGAAAGCTAAAGGATGGAGTGATAGAATGGTTTAGGATTGGTTTTTTTGCTCAATTTCCCACTAGTGGTGCATTAATGAGGTGATGTTAGTGTAGATGCTCAAAATCCAACCATGTTTGGATAGGTTTGAGTTATTATAACATTGCATTATTTATTTTATTAATAATAAAAGAATTTTTTCTATTAATTCTTATTTTTTATATTTATTTGTTGAATAAAATCAAATAGAAGTCCATATGATATATATTTGTATTAATGATTGATCAAAAGATGTGAGACAAATATTAATGCACATAAATGATAACATTAAATATCTCAAGTCATAGCATTGTCAAGAATAGACATTAACTATATATGGTTAGACTTGTGAGTGTTATGTTTATGCTATATGATAGTAATATGAGATCTCACACCCATTGGCATGATGATGCCAAAGTAAACACTTAAGTGATTTATGTTAGAGAATATATAACTAAACTTGACTCGCTATGAGAATTCATTTGGTTTAGTCTATAGGAATCTCATATGAGATAGGTACAACTGGTCCTTTGACTTAAAGTTATCATGGTTATCTCATTAAAGGATTTATGTACTTTGACACTTGTTTCGATGGAATTAGTAAAAGGGTTGCACATGAGTGATTCATTAGGTGCACTAGAAATCTAATAGAGGTAGGTGGATGACTAAGATAGGACATGTTATTCTTTGTATGGTAAAAAATTTATCAAATTACACTTTCATAAATGTCTACTCAAAAAATCTATGCCCACCGTAGGAGGACACTAATAGAGCATAGTTGGTTTACTCTAAGAGCTAAGACATTTGGGAATTAAGAAAAACTTATGTGATCATAATTGAACAAACTAATAACTAAGCTCGAGATCATACTATGATAAATTGACATGAGGACTAAATTGTATAGTAACTATGCTCGTGAAAGATAATTGTATATTAATTAATCTTTCTAGATAATTAGGTAGTCATGATGTCTTGCTAGAGGTTAATCTTGATTTATTTATCAAGAGATAAAAGAAGTGTCTTTTATGTTTGATATATTAGCAACATATCTAGGAGCCTATTGAGTCACATGCATAAGTTTAAAGATTCACATGATAAAAGAAAAGCATTCACATAATAAAATAGAAGCAAAGATGTTGAAAAAGTTTTCAATTTTGGAAAAAAATTTCACCAAATAAAATGTTTCTTAAAATAGAAAGTTTCTTATTTTATAAATTAGTTTCCTAATTTGGAATTCAGCTCTAAATTTATAAGTAAGTTACCCGAAAAGAAAATTACTTTCCTAATTTAAGTTTAAAGTTAATTTGAAAAATTATTTCCTAATTTGAACCTCTTAAAAATATCTAACCTAATTTATTTAGATAATCCAAATTAATTAGTAATTAATTGGACCAAAGGAGAAGCAAAGATGTTGAAAAAAAATTCAATTTTGAAGTTTTCTATTTTGGAAAAAAAAAGTTTCAAAAAATAAAAAGTTTTCAAAAATGGAAAGTTTCTTATTTTAGAAATCAGCTTTTCTAATTTGAAAGTTAGTTTCAAATTTCAAAGTAAGTTACCTAAAAAGAAAATTAGTTTCCTAATTTAGGTTTAAGGTTAATTTAAAATTTTTTTTCCTAATGTGAGCCTCCTAAAAATATATAACTTAATTTGTTTGGATAGTCTAAATTAATAAGTAATTAATTGGACCAAACGAGTTTGAGCCAATAGGTTTAATTTAAAAGCTTGCACGATATTTTGATGGAAGGATATACATGAATCTTATTGGATAAGGATCAAGGTTTAAAAGGATAAGATCAAAAGGCTCACATGCATAATAACTCTTAATCCTTGGAGGATTAAGTAGCAATAGCCTAGAGTCCATATAGGATAAGTTGTCGTCACTTCCTTATCCTCATATGACAATGAAGCCTTTCCCCTATAAATAGAATGAAAGGTGCGGCGAAGGTGAGAGATAAAACTAGGGCTACTCGGCACAAAAGAAAATAAAGAGAGAATAGTTTTCTCTATTCCTTAAAACATGCCACCTCTCTTCTCTCTCTTAGGGTTGTCGCAAAATATCTATGAATAGATTTCTAAAGTAAAACATTAAACAAGTAAAAAAAGATGGAGCTAACACTCTACTAATTTTGAGTGCTTCTTGTGTGGGTGCTTGGACTGCATGGAGTATTGATAGAGGCTGAATGCTTATACAACTCCTTTTCTATAAAGGTTTAATTTTACGCTATAAGAGGTAATCCTTTATTTATGCTTTAATTCATGTATGTATGATTAGTTGATTCAATGGTATGATCTTGGAAACTTTAGATGGAGGAAAATTTTTATTTTATTCTACATCTTTAGTGGATGCATGATCCTTCGGGTGATGATCCTCAAAATAATATTGATGGTTGGATGACTTTTAATCCAGTCGGTCGTATGGTGGATATAGCTTGTCAATTGTTAAATTGTCGGCAAGTACTTATAAAATAGTATTCCTCCGGTGTTTGGAGAACCATTCGATGTCTAAGTCAACATGTAGAGAAAATTATTTGGCCTAAATAGACTTAATAATATTTACTTGTTAGTAGCAAAAGATATGCGATATAATATATGTTTTAAATTTAGAAGGGAGAATTTGTAATGTTTGGCATGACAACTTTTTATATATGTAGGGAAGGGATTAATTTGCATAGAGTGTAGGATAGATCAATCTCTTTCACTATGATTAGTAGTTTTTGACATTCACTTATAGATTTTGGATCTTTTTTAAGTAAATGTTATTGTCCAACGATGCATATATAGTCATAGCATTTCTCTTAGGTAACTATTATTGTCTAACAATGCATATATAGTCATATTTGATGGTGAAGTGACATTAACTTCTCAAGAAACCGTATATTTATTAAATGTATGTCCTTTTTGTTTAATAAGTGAGATACATGATGCTTTTTTTTTTTTTGGATCGTTTACTTAGGTTGGTTGCTTGGATTTTATCCAAGTATAGGACGACTTGATGACTAGCTAAGATTTTCTCATTCATAGAGAAGTTTTGTTTAAATGGTTTTTTAAATGAATAAGAGGACACGTGTTATAATTACAAATATGTGAGTGTATCGTATTATAGTGTGAGTATGTACTCTAATTGTTATAATATAACTTTTGTTTTTATAAATATTAATTTTGAGTATTTTCAGCATTTCTTTAATAATATAAAATTTGAATAAAAAATTACGTGATCCAAAAAATATGTCATGAATCATATGGACCCGCACAATGGTGCAATTCCCTTTAGGGGTGAGCATTATTTGGTTAAAACTAAAAAATCGAATCGAAGCGAACCAAATTAGTAATTTCAGTTTGGTTTTCTACAAAAATTTTGAAAAAAAAAAACCAAAATCGAAAACCGAATTAGTTCCTTTTTTTTTTACACATACACCTCAAGACTTCTTGTAAAAAACCATTACCATTGGGTTACAAGCTCTTTGATATATAATTTAATTGATATATTTTTATATTTAATATCAATTTTTAATTCTTATAAATTTATGATCTCCACATATTTTAAATTAATTTTTTTAAAATAAAGATTTTCTTGACTCCTAATTAGTGGCGGAGCGAGGAGTTTATTTTTAGAAACAAATGATATTTAAATGAGATATTTTGTTTCTCTATAAATAAAATGATAGAATTCTTTATTAGAGAAGAAATGATTAAAACTATGAACTTTCATTAAATATGCATAAAAGTTTAAAAACCGCATTCCAATCTCTAGCATATGTGTTTCACCATTGCATCTAATGATGTGGGAATTCGAATATATATATATATATATATATATATATATATATATATATATATATATATGCAAACTCAAACAAACTCTTAGGTAAATTTGTGAGGTCGGTGTTGATCAAACTAGTCCGAATGAGACATGATGTTAAAACTAGAGTAAATTATAAATCGGTCTTTCTAGTTTTGAAAAAAAAAACATAATTAATTTTTTGGTTTTAAAAATTAATTATTTAGTTTTTTTGTTCATTTTATGTTCTTATTATTATTTAAAAAAAAATAAATAAAATATGATCAATACTAATAAAAAAAATAAATTTGCTAGGTTATCAATATTTTTGATGTAATTAAAAAAATAGTAAAAAAAGGCCTTCACCTTGGTCCAAGAGAAGATTCAAAATTCATAAGAAAAAATGTAAAAAAATATTTTAAAAAATCGATTTTTAACTAAAAGCTGAAAAACCAAGCAGAAATTTTGGTTTTTTTAACCGAAAAATCAAATCCCAATTCGATTAGATTTTGAATTTTGTTTTAATCAATTCGATTAATCGAAAACTAAAAAAAATTAAAATCAAATAAAAAAATCGAATTATTACCCTTAGTTCCCTCAACTCGTTTCTATGGTGACGTTGTCCCATCAACACATGCATTGTGACCATTTATTTGGCTTGAAAAGAAACTACCATCTAGTTGCTGGTTTTTATGTTTTTGAAAATAAAAAATAAAAAATAAAAATAAACATTCGAATAGGAAATCAAAATAACAGACACCGCAATTAATAGCAAACGGTCCTAAAGAATTGTTCTAGCTAATCAAGAAAACGAAAGAAAAAAAAGTTCAAAGGGACAGCAAGCTGACGGTAACCACTCTTTGCACAATTTGGGAAAGTTTAATGATCGAAATTAAGCATTTCAAGAATACAAAAGTAAAACTCGTTGTTTTAGCATTGTTTCCAGCAACAACAGTTAAAATGAAACCCCAACAAATTGTAATCAAATAAATAGACAGTAAAATCTTCCAAACCCATCAAAGTCGATATGGCTATAGATTAACATCATAGGTTTTTACCAATACTATTAATGTTATAAGCTAATTAGACAAGACCCAGTTAAATTCTTCTTGTTGTCCGCTAGCTAGCTGGAGATTTCACAGCGGCAGAGAGGGCAAGAGTTGCAGTGAGAGAGCCAGGAAGAGATGCAAGCTTCATGGTAGACATGCCCACATGGGACCTTTTTTCCACCTATACCTGATCGGAAACCCTCCATGCAAACTGCGCAAACAACATCACCTGTAATAAGTACCGTTGGAATATCAGCTAGGAGCGAGTTTGAATGTGTGATTTGTTGGCTAAAATTCTCAGGCAAAGTTAGAGCCTCATCGAGATCAAAGCTTGTATCAAGTAGACAGCTCGAAAATGTGTTGGATGCCATGGTATGGTATTAAAGAAATGTTAGAGAGAAAAGTTGCAAAATTTCCTGCCTTACGGACAGGAGTTTGTAGTGGAATTTATAGTTTTGAAGTGGCACTTTACGGGAAGGGAAACATCTACAGAAAAAGTACAAATAATGATGGGCCGTCGGCACAGATACTTTTTGGACCCGCAGCTCAATTGGAAGAACCATTTCAATGCAGAAAGTCAACGATACAAAGAAATTATGTGTGTGTGGCCAAGTAATTAATGCACCATCCTATTGGCTATGCAACTTGTTGTCTATGATGACCCATTAATTAGGAGGAGAGTGCTTACAGCCCAGATACGTGTAATTTAATTAATGACACACATACAGCATGGTTCATCTTCTCCATGGTCAAATAAAACAGCAACGGTACGAGAGATTTCATTTCCCCTGTTTTTTGGGCTTTACTTCTTATTTTTATTATAATAATAATATACATAAAAATTAACAATATAATAATAGCGATGGCGACGGCCACAGCAGTCAAAACTCAAAAAGTATTATTGTTTTTTTTATTATTATTTAAAAGGTATAAAATTGAGCAAATCTTTTTTGGCAACCAAAATAATTCATTGAAGTTAATTGTTGAATCTAGATCAGAATGTGTGTGGCGGACGCAATTATTGGTAAGCATGCAAATAGTGCATGTCAACTGGATTGGAAAGACAGCCATTTTTACGGGAACCCTCGACACACAGACGTCAAATTACATTTTCATCTTCAACTTTTATGATTCTTCAATTAGGTCCTAAACCAACCAAAAATAATGAAATACTTAATTATCCTCTGTTATCTCTAGTAGCATTTGATATTTACGTAAGTATTAAAATAATTTTGTTTCTTAATTCATAAATTATAAAATAAACTCCTTAATTTTACAAACTAAAAAATAAACAGTTACAATTATTGATGTTCAATTTTTGCTTTGTTAATTGGGCTAAATCTATCAACAACTAATCATATTCAATTTTTTTTACAAAAAAAAAAAAAAAACCATGCTTATCTATTTTGATTCTCTTATTCCTTGAATCAGTTGTGTCTTAAGCCCATTTGGTTAATATATTTACAAGTGATCAACTTTTAGATTTGAATATGATTTGATCCATTTTATGTTCAAAACAAACTTTTATTAGTTTGAATTTGAATTTTTTTCCCATATATATATATAAAAGGATTTCTCGTCCAAAAAAAACTAATAATAATAATTCAGTGTGAGTTTGTTTGAATTTAAAAATTTTGGGACTACCTTGTATTGTTAAATTATTTTTAGGATTTCTTTCGCATTTGTTATAAATGAGAGAATTATTTTATGTAAATTGTTAGTCAGGGATCGTTTGGTATATAGTATCAAAGATTAGGGCTAATTAAATTAAAAAAGGACCTCAACATAACTTTGTTGTGTCATGCTTGATTAGGTAAACATGCGATTTGCAGGATGCAGCTGCCCACTCTCAAGTCCTAAATAATAAGTGAGGATGACGGAAAGCCCAGCATTATGCATGCTACATACAACAAATTTATATTAAGCCCATGCCTTCTTTGTTTTTTATATTTTTGTTCCTTTTTATTTATTTTTTAACATTAATTTGCTTGTTATTATTTGAGTAAACAGAGGATTGGAATTAAGCATTCGAACCTCAAAAATAAATAAATAAATAAATAAAATCGAGACTCCTATTATGTTTAATTTTTCACTTGTATTAAAAAAGTCATCAGTTGAAGTATTTCCTAGTAAAATTGGTAACTATATTATCGTTGTAGGAGGTTTCGAGTTTAATTCATCTATTCTGTCAAGCTCATCCTTCTCGTAGCCCCATGGCTAAATTGTTTATGTTAACCCCTCAACTTTAACATGGTGATCAATTCATTTTAATCGTGACAGTTGATAAAGCACAAGACAAGCACAAGTGGTGAGGATATAGTTCTTCGGTTTCGATATTTAGTTGGCAGAGTCCATAATAATAAAAACCAAACTCAAGCTTAAATGTAGTTTGATTTTCTCAATAAAAAAATGGTATGCTTCTTTAAATACCATTTTTCCATGAGTTAATCTTCCATATTCATTTTAATATGTTCAAAGTTATTGAATGTCATTACCCAGGATCTGTTAGTCATATATGCTCAATGTTCGAGCTTGTTAGTCATGCTTTATCTTCATTCTTGTTCCTAAAGTTTAGTTATCATACTACATGTTCATTCTTGTTCCTAAAGTTTGGGAAATAGTGGAGATAGGGTTAGTTACTTCTGTTAGTTATGCTCCATGTTCCTAGAGCTTGAGATTTTTTTTTTTTTTTTAATTGGCAGTTGAAAGTTTGTGTATTTAAAGATGCTTTACACCAATAAAAATTTAGTAAAGATTTCACTCTAACAAAACCATATCGTTCTTATTGTTTCTGCATTTTGCTTTTGACAAAAAACCAATAATTGGTTTCAGAGCTTTATCTCAAGGGATGAGATTGAGTGAGGCCCAAAATACTTAATCCAAACCCTACACAAACACAAAATCCGACAAACAACTTCATGGAATCAAAAGCATCGTTCACATTAGTTTTATCACCAATCTTTGATGGTGAAAACTGTCAAGCTTGTGCTGTTTGAATGACAGTTTATCTTGAAGCATTGGATCTTTAGAAGGTAGTGGAAGATAATTATGATGTTATTGCATTTCTAACCAATCCAAATATGGCTCAGCTCAAGAATCACAAGGAAAAAAGACCAAAAAAATCCAAGGCCAAGGCTTGCTTATTCTCTACTGCATCAAATTCTATTTTCATAAGAATTGTGAACCTAGAAACTACAAAGAATATATGAAATTATCTCAAAAAGGAATACGAGGGAAATGAAAGGAAAAAGAACATGTAGGTGCTAGATTTGAATAGAGAATTCGAAAATCAATCAAAGACTATTTAAAATTAAATCAAAATTTCTAGATGAAGAATTAAAATTATGATATTAAATTTTAAATTTTTGTACTTTATTTTCAAAATTTAAAATTACATCTGTAAAAAAATTGACTATAATCAATTAGGTTGAAGATTATTGAAATGGAAAGTATTAAAATCACTTTATTAGTTTTGTATGCAAAACATGGAAGAAATCTTTGAAAAAAGTAACAAAAGGATTTGATTTCAAATAAATCAAACTATAAGAGGTAAATATTAAATTGAAAATATAAAGATTAATTCTCAAATAACTTTTTAAGTTCAAGGAAGGTTTGATTAATTTAAAATTTTATTTATTTTTCCTTCTTAATTTATAGAGTGAAGTAGATTTTTCCCCGGTCAATGACTAAACTTGCCAGAAGTTTTGAAAACAACCTCATGCTTCCAAACCCTAACCACATTACACTTCTGGCACCTATGAAGACACCACCAACCTTTTTATAGCCACGTAGTCTAAATTTCTAATTTTCCCTGCCTCAGAAAAAAAAAACTCTAAACAATTTTGTCATTTGAAATAAAAACCAACAATTACACGCCATTTCCAAGTCACAAATTTTTGTTTTTCCCTCCACTAGGTACTGGCACTCTATGCAAATCCATAACTACAACAATTTTTTTTAAGGATGTATTAATTTTTGCTCACTTGCCGCCTCTCTCATCCCTATTTATAAAAGAAGGCGGCAACTTCTCATTGTCTATTAAGGAGATATTGCCTATGTGGGCTTTGCCTAACTTTATCCTTGTAAACTTTGAGTCTTATCCAATATGACTCAAGTTTATCTTTCTACTAAAATATCTTACATGCTTTTAAATTATACCTATTGGATCAAACTCTTTTAGCCCAATTAATTATCAATTAATTTGGACCATTTAAATAATTTGGGTTAAGTATTTTAGTGGAGCTCACATTAGGAAATAATTTCCTAAAATACCTTTAAACCTAAATTAGAAAACTAATTTCCTTTTTAGGTAATTGTCATTCAAATTTGGATTTGACTTTCAAATTAGGAAAATGATTTCTAAAATAGAAAACTTTTCATTTTAAGAAACTTTTTCAAAATAGAAAACTTTCCAAAATAGAAATTTTTTTCCATAATCTTTACTTCTTTTTTATCATGTGAATGGTCAAGCTTGTGTGAGTGACTCAATAGACTCTTAGATATGTTAGTAATGAACCAAGAATAAAAAAAACACCTCTTTTATCTCTCGATACTTAAATCAAGATTAGCCTCTATTAAGACATCATGACTACCTAATTCTTTAAAAAGGATTAATTAATCCGTAATTACCTTTCATGAGTATAGTTATCATACAATTCGAGTCCTTATGTCAATTTATCACAATGTGATTCGAACTTGGTTTATATTTTATTCGATTATGATCACACAAGTTTTCTTCGATTCCTAAATGTCTTAGCTCTAAAGTAAAACAATTATGCTATATTGGTATACTCTCATTGTGACCACAGATTCTTTGAGCAAACATTCATTGAAGTGCAATTTGATAACTCCTTTAATAAATAATGAATAACATGTCCTATATAAGTCATCCACCTATTTCTATTAGATTCTTAGTGCACTCAACGAATCGTCCACATATAGCTCTTGATCGAACCCATCGAAACGAGTGTCAAAGTACATAAATTCTCTAATGAGATAACCGTGATGACTTCAAGTTAAAGGATCGGTTGTATCCATCTCGTATAAGATTCCTATAGACTAAACCAAATGAGTTCTCATAACGAGTCACGTCTAGTGATATGTTCTCCGACATTAATCACTTAAGTGCTTACTTTGACATCGATATATCAATGGGTGTGAGATCTCCTATTGCTATTTTATAGTATGAGTATATCACTCATAAATCTTACTATATATAGTCAATATTCATTCTTAACGATGCTATCACTTGGAACATTAATCGATATCATTTAAGTACATTAATGTTTGTTTTATATATTTTGATCAATCATTAATGTAATGTATATCATATGGACTTATATTTAATTCTATCAAATTGTAAATAACAAGAATTAATAAAAAAGACTTCTTTTGTTAATAAATAAAAATACAATATTATAATAAATTAAATTATTCAAATAAGGTTGGATCTTGAATACATATACTAATAGTAGCCATGTTGAGCAAGAGGGAGAAAAAAAAACTTATGTAGTAACTAGGGATGATCATTCGGTTAAACAGTTTGGTTAAGCTTTATTTGGTTTGGTTTTCGGTTAACCGAATTAGGAAAAATGAAAATCGAATCCGAACCAAAATTAATTTAGTTAATTCGATTTCAAATCGAATTATTTTGATTCGATTTTGAAATAATTTGGTTAACCCAAATTTTTGGTGTAAAAAAAAAATTCGAGTTCTTTCAAAAATGTACTTATCTGATCATAATCCCTAAATTTTTCATCCCCAAATCTAGCATCTTGAATTAATGGGTTGTCTACTCTCCAATTGTTAACACCAAGATCATAGTCAAGTCAGGCACAAACCTTCAACATAAAATACAACTTGCGTAATAGAAAAAAGCAAGAGAAATTGAATGCTTAGCAACGATTCAAAGATCTTAATTTGTGAGAGCCAATAGGAAGCTAAGGCTAACACATTGAATTTCTTTCGGGTTGAAGCCTTAGAATAATTAGAAAGAGAGGTATCATTTTTGTTAACGGATCTCTTGGTTCTGGACTCGGATATAAGGGTGATGTTTCCTGCTAGTGGTTTTAGAGCGATTGTGGCCATCGACTTGGTAGGAATAGATATTCTTCTAGGTGGCTTAGCGGATTTGTTCTTGCCAAAGAGATCAAGGACACCCATACTTTTACTCGTAGTTGATGCGAGCTTTTCTCCGAAAAATAAACACAACCCTAGAGTTAAAAGTCTATGAATATATGTTTAATTAAGAAAAAAGGGAGAGAATTTACGAGTTTGAATTGATCATAAATTTTGGTACCTCTTGAAAGTAGAAGAAGAAAGAGAAAGTTGTGGTTTATCTTTGTCATCCTTGGATTTGGTGGCGGATCTCAAAGGATACTTAACTTGGATTTTCCTAATTTTCATTATACACGAAACAACAAAATTAAGAAAAAAAGATTTCCATTATACACACAAACACGGAAATTAAGAAGAAAAGGAAGAGAAAAAAAAGATTATAGTATATACCTGCAAGAACAATAGCAAATTGTCGCCTTTTTCACGCTTTCTAATTCCATGAGATGTTTGATTTGAGTAGCTAAGATTTGAGACATTCGCCCAATCCTATTCATGTACGTAAATGCTGAATGACCGATAAAACAAGCTAGATAAATGACAACAAAATATCCTCGGCAAAAGAAAATAATTCCGGATCAAATGCATCCCGGATACGGATAAGGTTTAACAAGGATTATGCATAAAAAATATCATCGCTACACATCAAAATTATTAACTTTGGCTACTTCCTAACAAAAATTGAAGCAACAAGTCACCTTAACTTCCACAAAAAAAAAAAAACACCAGTTTACCTTCATGAGAATTGTCCGAAGCTATGCCTCGAGCTTTCGAATCACACATTTCGGCTTGATGGTCGTCATTTAAAACAATCCTCACACTTATTAAAATCCTCCCAAGTCACAAAACAACTGAGTAACCTAATCCTAAAAGCATATAATATTTGTGGAACTTTAGCTATTTAAAGGTGATATATGCTTGAGTTTGAAGGGATTTGAGTTCGCAAGCTGGTTGCGGATCCTTTCATTCGTAGAAAGGATGTATGTTTGATAAACAATCATACATTTTTTTCTAGCAGAACCCCCCCCCAATAATGCATTTTCCTTTTCTTAATCAATGCTAAAAATTAAATCAATGACAATACAAAATAGAGTTCATATCAATTTGTTAATTTGATAATCTTTCTCAATAGTTTAATACATTATTGTTAATTTGTTATCACTATCAATAAAATTAAAAAATAAAACAAAATAAAAGAGACTCGACCTTGGGACTAGGGAGAGCTCGTAGGAAGAGGAAGACACGAAGAGTAGGCCGAGGGCCGAGGCGGCCGAGACTTGAGTAGGAAGAGGAGGGTGGTGACCGATGAGGATGACCGTGACTCCGTGAGATTAGAGGAAGATGACAGGGGTTCGTTGGGTTGTTGGTTGCGACTTGCGAGGGCGGGTGATGGGATGAGTAAACCGGAGTCCGGAGGATTAGAGTGGAGAGTGGAGAAGAAGGGAATGAAGCTCGAATAAGATTAGGGAAGAAGATGAGATGAGTTGATGGAGTGGAGGATGATCGCGATTCGCGTCAATAAGTGACGAGTGAGGGTTTCAAAAGAGAGAGTGAGAGAAAGAAGAGACTGAAGTTAGGGTTAGGGATTTACAATTACATAGAATTTTTTTTTTAATTTTTACTATTCATTTTGATTTTCGGTTAAAACTGGATTTTTTTTCAAAAACCGAACCGAATCGAAATAATTTTGATTTTTTTTGTTCGATTTTGAATTGTATAATTTTTAATTTAAAACCGAACCAAATTCCTTAATACGGTATGATTTTATTCGATTTTTAGTTAATCGAATCGTTTACTCACCCCTAGTAGTAACGATAGCAAGCTTTGAAAATAATGGCAGTAAGTGATGTACGAGAGATAAGGAAAGGCAAAAACTTGTGCAGTAGTAGTATTAAAATAATGGTGTGATGCGTCGAATGGTTATGGCAGGAATATATATATATATATATATATATATAGTGTGTGTGTGTGAAAAAAAATTGGTTTGGTAGGATTTTGTGCAGAAGCTGGCAATATGAAATAATGGTGTGATAGGTGGAATGGCTATGATAGGTGAAAAAAAAAACTCACATTTTGGTTGTTAAGTCTTCACGCTTTGGCTATTAAGTCGAGAATGACTTTATACCATCAATAAATCTAAACTAAGATAAATAGGTAAAAAATTTTTTCACTTTTTGGTTGTTAAATGGCTTTATACCATCAATAAATCTAAACTAAGATAAATTTCATGTACATTAGTGGTGTCTGTATCGCTCACACAATATATATATATATACACAAAGAAGTTTATACTCTACAAATAATAGTAGTTTGAATTTGAAGTATTAAATCATGTTCTATTTATAATTTGAAATGTTGAAAATTCTAGAATCTGTGTCATAACAAACATATTGTCTTATCGTACCAATCCCGCGAGAAATCAACGATAACTGTATGTAGAGGGGTGCAAAATTTGATTGAGATTCAAGGCATATAATGTTTCGGGGGGAATAACTGGTCTATTTGGCACTTAGATGACTGCTACAATCTAACAAACAATTTTAAGAATAGTCTAATTCAGGTACTCTCTATCTCTTTGTGCACACACAATTAGCAATATGTTCGTCAATTATTCAAACTATAATTTTCCTTGGCTCTCCTTGAAACCAATTAATACAATAAACAAATATGCTTGCTAAAAGATATGTCGGATCAAGTCGTAATAAAATGGGTTGATAAAATTCAAAACCTATTTAACAGCTCTAAATTAAGGTAGCGTAAAAAAATACAAATAAACGAGAATGCTTACACAACTAGAATGCCTTGGGATGGATGATAGCTAGGCATGCTATGGTGCCATGTGGTCGCAAATGGATGACATGCATGAACATATTAGATATGTGACAATCATACGAAAACCATTTCATGGGATTGAGTGATGCGGGTTGGGGTAGATATTCTAGAAGGATCGGAGTTCGACGAGAGGAGAGGAGAGTTGGATCACTGACAGCGGCACCGTCCAATTATTTAGCATTTTTAAATTTATTAATTAATAAGAGAAATATGGAAATTGTTTCAACTTGAGACCACTTCTACTCAAACGGTTGGCTGCTCAGTACCTTTTCCTACATTGCTTTCGTGAATGTCGGGATAGATTCACATGCATAGTACATTGTTGTCTTTCACTACATAAACAGTCCATGTCTGCATTTGGGTTGAAACGAAAGAAAAAAAGTCATGGGACTGCCAAAAGGCCATTTCGAGGGAGTCCTTTCACGTGCGCACATGAATTTCGACTGCCATGAAGTTTCAATGGTAAGTCGAAGCTTAGGGATCCATTACTGTAATTTTAAGTTAAAACCGGAGGGCTTTGACTGCTTTTGCCACTAGTTTTGTCTATATGATGCACCAAAGCTGCCTTCCCCTCCGTTAAGTCTTTTGACTCAATTCCAATGGAGCCTCATTAAAATGTAATAGCTCATTGAATTCATGCCCTAGTAGAAATAGGTTTAGCTGTGTATATGTGATCCATGTGTTTAAATAATGATAATTATGTTATATACCAACGTTTATATAATGATTTTGAGATTTTTTGTTATTGTTATTTAGTGACAGTTAATGATTGCGATTATTATTTTACTATTATAGTAAATGATGACTTATAATTGAGATCGTGTCCGTTTTTCCATCCCTCTCTACGATTTAAAACTATAATATGATTTTTATAATTTTACTCATGTATGAAAATAACTTTTTTTATATAATTATTATTTAATTTTTTATTTTAAGAAATAGAAAAATATAGAAAAATATTGATAAAAATTTTTTTATGAAATAAAAAATAATATTAAATTAAATATGATCAACATTGATAAAAAATTAAATAATAATTTTTAAAACAAGAGGGATTAATGAACTTTTTTCTTGAAATAGAGGGACTCATTTGTAATTTACTCTAATATTGCTGAAAAATGGAGAAAAAAATAAAAAATAAAGAATTTCATTGCATTGATATCTTATGAACTCCTAGAATATTGGTGTTTGCTCTCTGAGCCTTTTTTTTTTTTTTTTAAGAATAACTAGTTTTTTCCTACAGATGTAACACACATGTGGCTCACCCGTGGTTCGCCGATGTCATGTTTTGTTTGTTATTTTAAGAATATATCTTGAATATCTAATTAAAGTATTTTAAAATTTAAATGTATAAATAGAAAAAGAAAATGTAATAGGTATAAAATAATCAAATCCAACATTATGCATAAAAATAATTCAATAAAGAAAATTATGACAATGATATTTTTTAATTCAATATTGTTTGATATAATAAAATAAATGTCTTTAATTTTCTTGTAATTTTTTCCTTTATGGAATTTTATTGTTTTATTAGCAAGTGATAATATGTTCTATATATTTCAAGAAGAATTTGTGTAAAATATTTTATGTAAAACAAAAGCTCCCGAAAATAATCTTTTTTTTTTTTTTTTTTTAATTTTTCATTGATTTATCACTAAGAGTATGGTAATCTCGTGGAAACCTTCAAAATAATTCTGGTAGCTTTTTATGCAATTGAATTAAAAACCAAGCAGAATTTATTTTTCAAATTTGAGCAATATTTTATGATAATATCAATTTAGTTCATTAATTACCAATTTGTTGACAAATCTGGTGACATGTTTTCTTGTAATGATATGTGTGGAAAATAAAAAATAGGTTTCAAAATTTTTTATTCTATTTTATATTTTTAGAAGGACTTTTAGTGTTGACTTAAATCATTTTTTTATTTTTATTTTTATTTTTAACTTTTCAAATTTAAAATTATCTTAAAATTTGATATTTTTTATTTTTCATTGTGCGAATTCATTTTATTAGCATAATGAAAATTAAATCAAATTTGATCAAGAAGAACACGTGTCAATCATCGAAAATAATAATAATTTTTTCAATTTTAAATGTAAGAGATAATAGATGGACTCAAAGAATGAGATTATTAGCAAACTGAGTACTGGGAGCCGAACCAAGTTGGAGAGAGTCCAGCATTCAGCCCATTCAGTAATAGAAAGCCCAGAAAGGACCAGCTTCCTCTTCGTTGATAAATCCACTCACAAACCCAACTAGGCAACTACCTATCTTCTTCTGGTTCTGATAATCCCGTCCAGAGTTATTAACGGTCCCCAATCTATTTTCGGCCACCGTCTCTATTATCAGTAGTCAATTTTACTTAAGTTAAGAACCAGTTCAGACTTCTTGAACTCCTTCTCCATCATCATTGAACAAAATAGGATAGTTATTTTTTGAACGTGTAAGAAATTACGAGTCAAAATGCAAGGAGGTTTATGTAAAGGCAAGGAGGTTTATGTAAAGGCATAATTGTTTGCATTTAGAGACCTGAAGATTCTAATTAGTTGGCACCAGACACATGTTGATTGCTTGCAAGTAACTTTTCAATGCAGCTAACGAGAAACTACCATGGAAGCTCTATGTCACTTTTCATGCATCTCCTCCTTTTTCTTGGTAATTGCTTGCAAGTAAGCTTTGCTTCTTTTTTTGTTTGTTTTTATGGTTTGGATATTTTTAGATTATTTTTTTATGCATTGAAATTAGATATTTTCCTATTCTAGTTTTGAAACAAGTATCGTGAGTTGCAACCTAATTTATTCTTTTAGTTTTTTTTTTTTCTATCACTAATTTTTGTAAAAAAGAAATTCGTGGGATGTGTAGGCTGTCTCATTTTCCAGTATGGGTGCTCCCGCTGGCAATATCGGTCGTGTGATTTGGGCTACACTTTTCATGCGGCCCACATATTGTTGGTCTACAATTGTAAATGGCCCACTCGTGAGTCATTTCCCTGTTGCTCAAAATGACCCAATCAATCGAATGTGGACAGAGGCGGAACAGAAAATTGAGAGTGCAATAGCAAAAACTATGAAGACAAACTTGAAACAAGGCAAATTAATGAGAGAAATCGAAATAGAAAAAGAAGAAAAGGAGGAATAAAATACAACTCTCTCCTTTCATTAAAAAAAAAAAAAAAGGAAGAAGAAGAAAAAAAATTACTATTCCTTTGGTTTAAAAAGTTGTTTTTTAAAACTTTTTTTTATACATATTAATAAAATTATTAATTATTATATTAGATCAGTATTCTTTTTTAAAAATATGTTTTAAAAAATTCCTATAAACATGGGGAAGTTTTGAGATTTATTGTAGATTTGTGATTTTGCTAACTTGCAAATACTCAAGCTTAGGAAGGCTGCCAATGCGAGAAGGTAGATTGAAGAATTTGTTTCCTGACAAATTCAATCTTCGGAGAGAAGAAAAGTTGACAAAATCTCATGAAACCATACCTTCAGACAAACCACAGTAACTAATATTTATTTCTCCCAATGAACATACATTAGCAAAAGAAGAGGGAAGACCTTGTAGTAATGCAGCAATGAATTGTTGACAACTCACTGAATAGCAAGCATTATTGTTTTCGGAATGGCGTAACGGCCTTAGTGTGTGTGTGGGGGGGGGGGGGGGGGGGGGGGGGGGTTGGAACATAAATTTTTCCTGTTGTGTGAAATAAAGTCATTAATTAGATCACGTTCCTTGCTTTGCAATATGTAGTATTTTAGTTCCCCTTTTTCAAAAAGCATAGCCGAAGAGCTGGGGGTCGGTTTTGATTTTTGGTGCTTGGGTCTGTTAATTGTTATCTTGGTTGTCATTAATTAGTAGAAATTTTAAAGTTTAGACAATTTTTTATTTTTATTTTTGTTATTTACATATTTGTAGATATTTTTAAATCAATTTTCATATCAATCGAAACTAACTTCATCACTTCTTAGGATAGTTCGGGATAGTTCGGTGCTGGATAACGCCTAGATGAAATTTTATTTTATTTTATTTTATTTACTTATTTATTATTATTATTTTTTATGGAAAGCTCAAGGAGCAAAAAACTTGTAAATACAAGACTAAATTGTAAAGAGATATATTCTTTTAAGGTGATAAGCCGAGACGTTCTCAATGCATTCCTACTAGAAACCCAAAATACGTGTAAGGGAGGCATGCATACGTGCACGTAGGTGGAGCGAGGAGAACATGAAGATTAATATGCTTGTGAAGAATTAATCCAAGCCACGTTCACAACATGCAATAGAAGTGGCTATTTTATTGTGATTTTGTTATTCAATTACGCTAGTCCAAGCCACAATTGTAACATGCGGTAGAAGTGGTTATTTTATTGTGGTTTTGTTATTCAATTATGCTAGTCGCCAATTAGTTGTTGGTCTTGAGTTTAGGAGTAGTTAAATTTTATATATTTAAAACTCTTTAAAATTTAATAAAGAAGGCAAGCAAATTTTATCTAAGCTACGTGGTTCATTCTCACCTTAAGAGAATCCTACTTAGATAATTGTAATTTAGCTTTGATTGGGACCGATCATTAGTATCGAGCCTCGGTTACGATGGCAACCAATAAAGAAAGAATAGAAAATTAAAAATAGGCCTAGGAGAACTTCAAGAAGGCATGAGCGAGAATGGAACTAGGCATCGGTGACAAGTTGCATAAGATGGAGAATATCATCAATAAGCTATCCAAAGCTTTGTTTTCAAATAAGGAAGCATCCGAGTAGTAAGACTAACTATCTCAATGATCTTTTTTGCAATATTAGAGAAGAATTTCAAGATCATTTGGAAGGAGGAAGGCCAATGTTTTCATCCAAATTGGCTATATTAGAGTTTCCTAAGTATTCAAGTGATGATCCCATTGAATGGTTTAATAGGGTAGAATAGTTCTTTGAGTACCAAGGCACCATAGAAGCTTAAAAAGTGTCATTGGCTTCTTTCCATCTTGAGGGAGAAGCTAACCAGGTGGTGGTAATGGCTACATCGGGCTTATAAGGAAGAAAGAAGAGAGGTGACCTTGAAAATCTTTGAAGAAGAGTTGAGGCCTTGTTTTGGTCCTATTGAATGTGAAGATTTCGATGAAGCTCCATCAAGGGTAAGGCAATGATGCTCATTACGAGATTATTAAAAGGAGTTTGAGAGATTAGGGAATTGAGTGTAAGGATGGACACAAAAAGACTTGGTATGAACGTCCTTGGGTGGTCTCAAACCCAAAATAACGAAGGAAATTCAAATGTTCAAGCCTAAGCCCTTAAAGGAGGCAATCAACCTTGCTCATATGTGAGATGAACAGCTAGCTCACTAGAGGAGATTCACATGCCCATCACTCAAGTGAGCACTACTGAAGCTTCTAACTCTATCAAAACCTAAATCCATGCCACCAATGAAATGACTTTCATAGGAAGAAATGTAAAAATATTGTTCTCAAGGTCTTTATTTCAATTGTGATGAAAAATTTACCATCAAGCATAAGTGTAGTGGTCCTCAATTGCTATTATTGGAGGATGACACCGGGAATGATGATAAAGATGGTGGTTCGTTAAAGAAGACCTTATTCAAGTTATTTGAACTCGAAATCTCTTTGTATGCTTTAATAGGATGGACAACTTGTAAGACCACGAGAGTGGAGACAAAGGTTAGGCGGTACAAGGTCATGGTACTTATTGATAATGGCTCAACACATAACTTTATTAGTGAAAAGATAGTAAGTTCGTTACAATTTCTAGTAGTTCCCATTAAACCCTTCAATGCAAGAGGAACTAACGAATGCCTATTGAAATGCCAAAAGAGATTTGAGCATGTGCAAATCCTACTTCGGGGTATTTCCTTCTCTTTTACATTTTATTCGTTACCATTAACCAGGTTGGACTTGGTTTTAGGTGTGTAATGATTAGAACAACTTGGAACTCGTGGTGTGTAATTAGAAGAAGATGACCATGGAGTTCTAATGGAAGAATTACATTTAAAAGCTATAAGGAATAAATGAGCAACCCATTTAGACCACATCCTTAAAATCTGTTTCAAAGGAATTGAGGCAATGAAATTCCATGTTTGCTCGTTTGCTTACAACCATATGAGGTAGATGTACCATAAGGTTTTCATCCATATATGCAACAATTATTGAGAGCTTATGAGGGTCTTTTTCAAGAACTAAAACAATTACCACTAATAAGAGAAGTGGATCATCGAATTTCTCTCAAGGATGGAATCGAGCCCATCAATGTGAGACCTTACAGGTATGCTTATTTTAAAAAAGATGAAATTGAAAAACAAGTTTATGACATGTTAAAATTAGGGTTGATAAGATCAAACATTAGTCCTTTTTCCTCTCCCGTTTTACTCGGTTAAAAAGAAAGATGAAACCTAATGCTTTTATACTCGACTATAGAGCCTTTAATGTTGTGAACATTAAAGACCAATTTCCCATTCCCACGGTTAATGATATGTTAGATGAGCTTTATGGAGCAATTTATTTTACAAAACTTGATCTTAGAGCTAGCTACCTTCAAGTTCGGGTAAATCTTATGGACATTCCTAATGTCATATCCATAATGGTCATTACGAATATTTAATTATGTTTCTTGGTCTTTGTAATGCACTATCAACATTTCAAGCCATTATGAATTCTATTTTTCATCCTTACTTTCGCAAATTCATATTAGTCTTTTTTTATGACATTTTGATTTATAGCCCCAATTAGACCCCGCACCTTGAACATGTTAGAAAAACTTTTGAAATATTGAGGCATCATCAATTTTTTATTAAGTTAAGTAAATGTGCTTTTGGGAAACAAGAATTGGAGTACTTGGGCCATATTTCATGGCATAAAAGTGGATCAAAGAAAAATTAAAGTAATAACTAATTAGCCTAGGCCTACTAATGTTTTAGAATTGTATGGATTTTTAGGCCTTACAGGTTACTATAGGAAATTTGTATGCAATTATGGCACCTTGGCTCCACCACTCACTAATTTGTTAAAGAAAGGCCAATTTTGATAGACTAAAGAGGCGGAAAAAACATTCACCATTCTTAAGTAAGCTAGGACTTCTACACCAACTATAGCAATGCCAAATTTTATTGAGCCATTTATAATTGAATTGGATGCTTTGGATGAAGGAATAAAAGCTACTCTAACTCAACAAGGCAAGCTGATTGCATTTATGAGTCAAGCTTTAGTAGTCTCTAAGAAATCATGGTCCACATATGCTAAGAAAATGCTAGCAATTGTCCAAGCTATTCGGACATGGCGACCTTACTTGCTTGGGATGGAAGTTTGACATTTGGATCGATCAACGTAGCCTCAAGTACTTGATGGAGCTACAAATTGCAACATTAGAACAACAAAAATGGGTGGCTAAGTTACTTGGTTAGGACTATAAAATTTGTTATAAACCGAGGTCATGAGAATTTAGCAAGTTGATCCATTATTGATACTTTATTTGTGCCACAAGTTGATTTATGAGAAGAAATAAAAAAGTTAACGAGTGAGGCACATTTACATAAAGTGAGTCAGCAATAGATAATCTAGGTGCTCCTTATTCTTGGCATAATGGATTGGTTTGTATAAAAATCAAGTAGTTGTGTCACCAAATTCTTCAATAATTCCTTAATTTTTATAGGAATTTCATTAGTCTCACTTTGGTAGACCTTCAAGATTCTTACATATATACAAAAGATTGGCACAATAGTTTTATTGGCCTTCCATCCATTAAGATGCGTAGCAATATGTTTCTTCTTGTGATATATGTCAACGAGCAAAAGCTGAAACTCTTTTTCTAGTAAGTCTATTACAACCATTTCCGATTCCATGTCAAGTATGGGATGATATAACTTTAGACTTCATTGAAGGCCTACCAACTTCTAACGGAAAAAACATTATCTGTGGTGGTGGTGGATCGCCTTAGTAAATCAGCTCACTTTTTGCCATTAACTCATCCCTTCACTATAAAAATAGTAGTTGAAAAATTTATAAAATGAGTAATCAAGTTGCATAGAATGCCACGAATAATTATTAGTGATCGAGACCTCATGTTCATTAGTAACTTTTGGCTTGAGTTCTTCAAACTCTCGGGAACTCAACGAGAAAACTCTGTCTATCACACTCAAAC